CGTCAAGGAGGCGGCGCCGGTGGCGCCCCGCCCGGGCCGCCGGCCGAGCCGGAGCCCCGGCTCTGTGGAGGAGGCGGAGTCATCCGTCATGCGGCCGACAGGAGTGGCGCTAAAGGTCTATTGAGTCACAGATCGGCTGCTTCATGCCGAAGTTTCAGGGTTATCGGCGAGTGGGTGCATTGTGCGCCGAGGAGTGGCTGCGTTTAGAGTTTTTAGGACCACAGACGAGGAAAAAGTGAGTCTAGATATGTGTCGGCGTTCGTGATGAATGCGTCGGCCAAGTTAGTCGTACCTAATTTCTTTCTCTGCATGACCTGCAACCGTTTATTAAGCTGTACCTAACTGGCAGTGTACTTCAATCACATCGCAGAATCCAACTCCGTCGCTCCATTTAGCCACAGTCTCCGCATTTTGCGGGCACAACGCTGGAATGTAAGCGGGCTAAGATCCATGAGCCTATTGCAGATGCGATCAGCCTGAAACCCGCACGCGTGCAGTCTCATAAGACACGCCGCTGAAACCACGAACAGTGGACGGCGTCATTACGCGTCCAGAGGCTGCAGGGAAGTTTCCTCCTCCACATAGCTCCCTAGCCTGACCAGCGATGGAGGGAGGCAAACGGAAGGGGTGGGGGAGGCTGGCAGCGCCCCGCCGCCGCTCCACCCCCTCCAACGGCAGCAACAGGCCACTAAATCGCTCGCCCTGGACAGGCGCGCTGGCCGCCGTGGCGCGCGCGACAGTCGTGGCGCAGTGCGTGAGCTCGGTATCGCCAGATCGACCGAGCGAGCTGCGGGCGGAGGTGGCGTTTACACGCGCATTACACGACTCTCGGAGGGGGAGGGGGTGTCACCTGACCGATGGCCGTGCTCCGCGGCACGTGATATCGCAGCCAATGGGCGCCGAGGACGGCCGCTCCACCCAGCCGTGATTTGTCGCCAGGCTTAAGCAGCGACGGATCGGAGGAATGTGGCGTTCACGCGCTCTTTGCAGAGGATCTAACCAGCGTATTTAAGCGTTGCTGGCCAGTGGTCGGCCACTCAAGTTGGCTGACCTAAAGCCGAAGAGGATAGCACGGATGCAAGTTATGGCACTGCATACAACACATTGCAGTGATTTACTTTCACTTCGGCCATGTCCGGTCCATCAAAGCCGAAAGCATGGTGAACGGATTGCATAGCGGTGATTCACTTTGCAGCGCGCATGCGCCATTGACGCCAGATCCTCACGAGATGAGCCACTCCCCGCCGCCGACGTGGCCAGCACGGTAGCTGCAGACGGCGCTGTTTTTGTGTACGTTCGGTGCTCAGGTTAACGCCGGGTTGGCAGTTTGGATAATGATGGCTCAATAGCCAGACGCTGCTGGCTGATGAGGCACGCCGCCAGTTTAGATGTGGTCAGGGTTAATTGGGGACGACGAGCGGCGCCCTTTGATGGCGGCCATTTTCGGGGGTGTTTTAGACTGAAAGGCTCGGTACTTATATGGGACAGCATTTATAATTTGAACAAGATTGGACCATAAAATTTGACTGTTAGTTTCTTTTAATCTAAGTGTGCCCGTAACGGCTTTGGAGGTGCCTGGTTACAGCGATGTAGGTATACGTTTGCGGGTCAAGGCATGTAGTACATAAACGCCGATGCATGACATTTTTATGTTTTTCTTATATCCTGGTCAAATCACTGACTACTAAGCAACACTGATCACTAGAGCTGTAAAGGTTATGAAAATGAGTGTTCCCAATTCAAAGTATGTTCTGTTTGCAACATTGTTTCATCTCTAAAAGCCATTGTGCACATGCTGGAAACGCACCGCCTCCCGAGGTTGCGTGAGCTTACCACAATGTTGTGTGGTAAGATGCAGATAGTGGCTTTGTGCCATTGTCTCCCTTGGTGATAACGAACCCGACTGTATTGTGCTCACTCGTGTTTCGTGGTTTACTATTCTGTGTTGGTAATATGTAGGCCGAGCAGAAATGCGCAACCTTGAAGGAGCGAGCTGTTCGCGTGATCCGGGCCTTGTTGGCTAATTTTCATGGCGACGTTTCGTACTTTGACTGCAAAGATGTGCCAATACCAAGCGAGCTGGGGAAAATGCCGGGTTGTTTATCAGGCCCATCTCACTATCATTATCAAAGTCGGACACGTCCACCACCGAATGCTTCAGCTCACAGCCAAAGCCTTCGCTGTCGTTTTCCGACGGATGCGTTGCACGACCATATCACTGAAACAATGACCCCAGAGCCACCGCGCTTCCATGAGGCGATAGCGGTGGCCTGACCGTGCTTGGTGCATGAGCAACATGATCTCAGCGTATCAGTAGCAAAGCAAGAACGCTGAAATTTATGAGTTCCCACCGGCCGTAATTCATTGAAGCGGGCCATTTCCCAATGGTGGCTGTGTATCCGCCCACATCTAGGCGAGCTCAGGTTTCACAGAGTGCCGTTCTGCTGCACCCTCCCGCCTCTCCCCTCCGGCCCGCGCTCAGTCATGCTCCATTGAGAACGCTAAACGAGAGCAGGACCCCGAGAAGGCTCCATCGGACGCCCCAGCTCCGGTGTCGCCGCTTTTTGCTCTCGTCCAGAATCGGCCCAGTAAACAAGGTAGAAAAATTCGGTAATTTGGGTTGCCATGTGAAATATACCTCTCATAAGGTTGGATCGGGTTACAGGGTTGCGTTGTTCCATATCACAGTAAGCATTCCTGGCAAAGCGATTCCCTTTCCTTGAGCTCGGGAAAAAGCTCATGAGTTCCCAAATATGCTATTAAGTGGTCTTTCTTGAAAATAAAAATAATTTGGACTTTTTAAAAAATGGAAAGTATGGTCTCGGCCAGGAGTCCAAGTTTCCGGCTTCCATAAACCTCTCTCCCTTCAAAGCGCCTCCTTAGCTGTGTTCAGCCTCTGTCCAAAGTGGGCAACTGAGCACATCTTCCACCAATCACATTTCAGAACGAGCAGCGCGGACGTTCCGCAGCGCGACCGACTTGTCGGCTGCTCCACCTCCCCCTCGCCATCAGCCGGCCGACAGTCCGCCACTGCTCACCACCACCGCCTCCTCCGCACCGGTGGCAGGCCGGGCCGCATCACCACCGCCTCCTCCGCGCCGGTGGGAGGCCGGGCCGCACCAACACCGCCTCCTCCGCGCCGGTGACAGGCAGGGCCGCACCAGAAGCGCTGACAGCGGACCCGAACAGCTGCAACGGGGACGGGTGATGGCCGCTCGCGCAGCTTCTCAGTCCTCACCTCAGCGCCGCCGAAGTTCCGTGAGGTGATGCGGTGCTGTCCGCAGCACGGCAGCTGGGCGGTGGTCCTGGCCGCAATCTTTCATTGGCGAGTGGTAGAATCGAGCCCAGTAGTGACCCCAACTTTCGCGCCGGCTATCACGGTATAGTCCGTGAAACATTAGCCGCGTGGCTCGAACGGATGCAGATCGTCTTTTCAGACGCCGTAGCGACCAAAACTAAACGCTAAAGCAAAAGCTGGAGAACTTAGCTCTCCAAAGCTATACAAAGATAGACACACTCCGTGTCGTCTCTGCACTCGGCGCTCGCACCGCTTTGAACGCGCGAGTGGACGAACCACTCGGCCGGCGGCGGCACCCGTCTTGTGGTGCCCTGCCGGAAGCGGGCATGTCAGGTATCACAGCGTCCCTGCCGGCGCTGGCACATCCGTATGAACAGCACGTGTGGCGGTTCGCGCCGGCCGTAGTCCTACAGACGCGGCGGCCCCATTTTTGGAAGCGCGTTTTTACGGCGGCGGCCATCTTTCAGCTGGCCGAACGTTACGGTCGCAGTTCGTCGACTCCGAGATAAGCGATCAGGGAGGAATGCCTCGATCGTTTGGCCGCTCCTCGGCGTGCCTTATGCCCTGAAAAAGTTGCCCTGGTATCGAGGGGCCGCTGGGAATGCTCGTGTAGTGGATTGTCTGTGCGTCAACTTCATTTACTTCATGGTGTGCTCCGCTTTTATTTCCAGAGCAATCAACTAACATGCCTTTGTATTTAACTCAATTTGGATTGGTTCCGTTGGTTCTGTTGGCTCCGATTACAGAAAACCAAACAGACAAAGAAGAGCAGCCTTTGTTTTGGTGGACAAGTTTGTAGTGAGACTAGGCAACTTTACGTCGCAAAGTGCCATCGCATCAAAGTCAATGATTTCAGTACAGCCTGACCCGAAAGAACGCAGCAAGAATCCGCCTGCAAACGAGATTTGCTCATCTGTGGGGCCGGCCCAAACAAGATCTCCTCATTTGTCGGGCCGGCCCCTCTCAGCCGAGTTCCAGCTGCGATACGGGCCGCCTCCTCCCCACGGCAGGATAGAGCTGAGCGATACGGGCCGCCTCCTCCCCACGTCAGGATAGAGCTGAGCGATACGGGCCGCCTCCTCCCCACGGCAGGATAGAGCTGCGGTACGGATCGCCTCCTCCCCACGTCAGGATAGAGCTGAGCGATACGGGCCGCCTCCTCCCCACGTCAGGATAGAGCTGAGCGATACGGGCCGCCTCCTCCCCACGGCAGGATAGAGCTGAGCGGGCGCGGGCGCGGGCCGGCGGCGGCTCCAGCAGGAGCGGCCCCAATCCACGGCGCGTGTCGTCGGGACGGCAGGCACACGCCGGGTTGCGTGACAGACCGTGGTGCCGGACCGACGCCGGCCGCTCTGAGGAGCCGGGCTCGTGACGCCTGGCCGACGCCGATGGCCGCCCTTGACGCCAGGCCGACGCCGACGGCCGCTCTGAGGAGCCGGGCTCGTGACGCCCGGCCAACGCCGATAGCCGCTCTTGACGCCAGGCCGACGCCGACAGCTCGGAGGAGCCGGGCTCGTGACGCCCGGCCGACGCCGGCGGCCGCTCTTGACGCCAGGCCGACGCCGACAGCTCGGAGGAGCCCGGCTCGTGACACCCGGCCGACGCCGATGGCCGCTCTTGACGCTAGGCCGACACCGACGGCCGCTCTGAGGAGCCGGGCTCGTGACGCCCGGCCAACGCTGATAGCCGCTCTTGACGCCAGGCCGACGCCGACAGCTCGGAGGAGCCGGGCTCGTGACGCCCGGCCGACGCCGGCGGCCGCTCTTGACGCCAGGCCGACGCCGACAGCTCGGAGGAGCCGGGCTCGTGACACCCGGCCGACGCCGATGGCCGCTCTTGACGCCAGGCCGACGCCGACAGCTCGGAGGAGCCGGGCTCGTGACACCCGGCAGCTCGTGACACCCGGTCGATGGCGGCGGCCGCTCGGAGGAGCCAGGGTCGTGACACCCGACAGACCCCGGCGGCCGCTCGGAGGAGCCTGGGACGTGACACCCGGTCGATGCTGGCGGCCGCTCGGAGGAGCCAGGCTCGTGACACCCGACCAAATGCAGATCCGGCGAAGAAGAGGAGGAGCACGGCTTGACGCCGTTCAGAGCGGGGTTTTGCGAGTGTTGTGGAGTAACGAGAGGTGCAGGAAGTGAGCTCTGTTGCCAGAGTCTCCGCCACCGAGGGACGGCCACGCGTGTGCGGTCCATGACGGTCTGCGGTTATTTCTGCGCCTCTAAAAACCTGATAATGGTGACAAAGGGTACTTGGCTGCCTGCCGTCATTAACCGTCCTGCGCTGAACATCATAGTGCAACGAAGACAATGGACAGGTTTGGATTTATCGTACCGGGACAAGCGAGATGCACTACAATGAAGACTGGAAGAATGCGAGCATTAAACCGATGCTATCAAACGCTTCTAGTGAAACCTGTCTCCTAAAAAGTATGTATTTCAGTGTGTCAATGAAAAATGCAGCGATACGTTTACCTGTAACCTCTGTCGTCCTAGAACTTGTCAGGGAAAGTGCCACCATGCGACTGACCCCATTCATGAAAAACTAAGAAACGTCTCCTGACGGCTCCTGGCCAAAAACAGTGAGTCATTTGGCAACTCACTTTGTAAATGCAACGTAAGACGTTCCTATCTAGGAGTCCTCTCAAAAAGGCACTATGCCCTATCCATTTGGAAGCAGCATATACAGGTGAGCTACTTACACACAGGCGGAGAAAGGGCCGCTTATGGGACGCAAGGTCTTTTGCAACGTTGACACTCTCTACAGGCTCATGTGCGAAATGAAAAAGAAAACAATGGGAAACTACTGCCGCAAATTTCTCCTTAAATCAGCGGTGTAACACTGAAACCTTCACGTGCAGGCTACCTGTAACGCTCTGAGGAATGGCGTCAGAGACTCAGGATAAGCCTGGGATCAAGGAAACAGTCTAGATCCGATGACGGCCATAGAGAACAATCGGCAAGATACTTAAACTAAAAGTAGTCGTTCTGAAACCCGTGAACATTCTGCTCTAGTGATGGATAATAAAAGAATATGTCATTGGAGGAGTCAAGGGTCAAGGCAAACAACGATCATGTACGGAACACAGATTTGGCATGGCACACTGCACGGCCTTTTATTGTGCGTGGACACTTGTAATTGCTCGGCTGTTATTGGTTTTGACTAGGATATGATGTATTCAAGTATACACCACAAAAACATATCTGTGAAAAGAGAAAGTGAAGAGCCTTTTGTCAGGCGTCAGTGGAAAGTTCCCCGAGAGGGTAGTGAGTTGGATGGCTATGTGCCTGCTGGCGATAGCCGGATTTGCATGGCATATACAGGTGCGCTATGAATGGTAATGAATGCAGGAAGACGAGTGCATTCTTTCCGAAAAAAATTCCTGAGGACCTTTAAATATATCAACCGTCGCACATAGCGCGCAGTCATTTTTTGACGATTTAGCACGAGCCTTTTAAATGGATTGGTTTCTGGGATCAGAGCCCAGTGCTTGTTGCGAACACTGGCCTCCACCATCCGATCGCAAAGTTCCAGGTCAACCGAGTAATTTTGTGACTAAAGTTTAATTTGTGACAATGCTGGGATCGGTCCGTTCTGCCCTTTGGCATCAGCTGACGTTTCGCATGACCGATGCCACCGGCCGCAAGCCATTCCAGTCAAGGGCAGGCAGCGTGCGTCTAAAATTGACTCAACCCCACCCCGTCACGAATTGATGGATCGGAAGGCAAGCTCCCAAACCAACTGGACTATCGGCACGGACAAAGTTAAGAGCGTCCCGGTCAGCTCAGAACATTCTAAGATAGAAATGTGATAACACGCGCCAACAAGCCCTGTAGTTCCGCAGCAGTGATCCGAGATCGCGTCCCTGGACGCTGCTGGGGATGCTTTGCGCAAGTTCGGCTGAAAGCACGGAGTTGAGCGAAAGCGCCGAATGAGAACCACGAGGAAGCTCAGGAATAGTGTCAGTGGCGCGGTGCCAAGGACCGGCACCACACTTGCAAAAAAACGACGACGTTATGGCTGATACAAATCGCAGGGCCATCTATGACATCGCATATGTACGTACTTGCTGTCGTAGTTCGTCGACGGTGTAACTCAGTCTGCAATACATCATGAAGCGACAGAAAATAATGGAGCATAAGTGAAACCTTCACACCTGCATCATGCAATTCGTGTTTATTTACGACACGAGATAACGTTAGATGTCATTGCTTTGGGCAAGGACTGGTTTTCTTTTCTTCATGTGCTTATGTGCTAAAATACACGTTCATGCACCAAACACCATTACACAGAGCATTCACAAGCTGCTTGACAAGTGATGCATGTGACAGTTTGCATACTGCATGGTGACCGTTTGCATGATGACAACCCTTTGCATGATGAGAGCGGAGAAGGGAGAACGTGTCCATGATGTGTGGGAACATGTGGATGAAAGTTGAATGGGTCTGAATCTTAAGAAACAGTTCTTAACTTGGCCCTAATTCAGCCGAAACTTGAGTTCAAGAAAGAGGTCTACACAAAAAGTTAGAAACCATTTTTTGATGGAACCAAAAAAATGTTGGCAAATATTACCTATCAGTCTTTTTTGGTTGCCTATGAATTGTCACGCCAGCCAACCACGATGACTATGCGGCTCCAAAACATACACATTTCATTAAAAGACCATCCTGAGGCAAGAAGCTACCGAATGCAAGCAGCCAGCATTCCAGCGGTGCAGTCAGGGTGTCGAAATGCACGTGTTCACATTCTCTACATACAGCATGCGCCTCGAAAACATGCCGGAAATTTCGCCGCACAGCCGCGTGAATGGTGATAATTGGAGCGGTGGCCTTGTGGAGTCCTTAATGAACGGGAGCGATGGGCTGTCCAGCGGACGTCCAGGGCTCACCGGAGACAATGTCGGCCGCATGGTAATGGTGCTCATTTGACGGCGCCTCCTCTCACCGGTAATGCTCCGACTGTTGTTACGCCGTCGCCCACAATGAAAGCGAACGCGCCGCGTGGGACCCGGCCACGAAGATCGTGTTTTACGTGGGAGGCGGGCCACCAGAGGTTATGGGATATGCTAATGGCCCCTCAGCAAGTGTTGTACGCTGGGCGAGGCGAGGCGAGGCGAGGGAAATGCGCCTACTTGGTGAGGAACAGCGCTAGCTTCTGCCAGGGTCAAAGCGTAAAAACTCAGCGCTCTCAATTTTGACCGTCTTGTCGAAGATCGTGCAAAAAGAGGATGGAGCCGTCTCCGGATCGCTGCTGAGATTTTGGCGTGCACCGAAAGCTGGAGCCTGCCCTGCACGGGGCCTGTCTCTGGACGGGGCCTGTCTCTGGACGGGGCCTGTCTCCGGATGGAGCGCGTTTCTGGACGGCGCCTGCCTCTGCACTGAGCTTATCTCAACACTGAGCCTGTGTCTGGACGGAGCCTGTCCCTGGACGGAGCCTGTCTCTGTACGGAGCCTGTCTCTAGACGGAGCCGGTCTCTGGACGGAGCCTGCCTCTGGACGGAGCCTGTCTCTGGGTGAAGCCTGTCTCTGGACGGAGCCTGTCTCTGGACGGAGCCTGCCTCTGCACGGAGCCTCTCTGCATGGAACCTGTCTCTGGTCGGGGCCTGCCTCTGGACCCAGCGGGCCGCGCCAACCGGAGCTAATCGGCTCCGAGGACAATCGGCCTCTCCGGCTCCGAGTGGCCATTCAGAGCGAGATAGCCATCTGGGACGCAGCCCGCGCGCACCGGACCGAGGGAAGGCGGGCTGATCTCGGTCCCGTGCGACACGCGACCGCTCCAACTCCGCCGGACGTCCGCTGGCACCGTGACGTCGGCAAACAGCGGAGAGGCACGCTCCGGTGTGAGGATCTGCCACCGGCACCGGTCTCTCTCTCTCTCTCTCTCTCTCTCTCTCTCTCTCTCTCTCTCTCTCTCTCTCTCTCTCTCTCTCTCTCTCTCTCTCTCTCTCTCTCTCTCTCCTCCCGTGCTGCTGAGTCAGGGCTCAGCTGACCCGTCAGGCGGCGGCTGCTCGTGTGAAGCCTCCTCAGAGGGCGGCTCTGGGCCGGATCAGGGCGCGGCGCGGTCCTCAGCCGGGGATCAGCGCCGCCGCGCCGTGTTGATCCGCCGCCGCTGACCACTCCTGGACGCCCTGTTTGTTATCGCGCCATGGCTGGATAAACAAATACTCAGCGGCGTCACAGGGACGACCGCCGCCCGGAGACGCCGCGGCCACCCGCTCGGCGCGACGCCGCCTGGCCGACCGGGGGTGTTTAGGTCGCACAGAGGCTATCAGTTCACCCAGAGGCCGTCAGGCCACTCAGAGACCATCAGAGCACTTAGATGCCGTCAGGACGCTCAGAGGCCGTCAGGACGCTCAGGACATTCAGGCCGTTCAGAGATCATTGTTATGCCCAGAGGTCATCGGGTGGCCGCGAGGTCGCCAGGACGTTCAGAGATCGCCATGTCAGGACGCTCTGAGGCTGTCAGGGTGCTCAGAGGTCTTCAGGTCGTTCACAGGCCGTCAGGTCGTTCAGAGACCGCCAGGACACTCAGAGGTGATCAAATAAGTAGCTCAGAGATCGCCACGACACCTGGATGTGGTAAGGTCGCTTGCATGCCGATGAGACGCCGAAGCTGTTCATCAGGTCCAGAAGCAGCAGTCTCCATAACGAAATAGTCAGGAAAGGGCACAGCAAACAATGGTAAACTGTGATTTGCTACTGCAAAAGCTGAAGCTTGATGTGGTGTGGGACAGAATGTGCGATGGATGAGAGCTATTGCAGCAGGATTAAGATAACTAGATAGATGTGCATGGTATGGGCCAACGATGGACGCAGAAAAGCCAGCACTTTGTCATACGTTGTACATCAAGGGTGGATTGAGTACCATATCTGGGATCCAAGGTCGGAATAATGTCCAGCGGATCAAAAAATGAGACTTGAGAGGAAATAAAGTGCGATTTTACAGCCACCTTAATGGTCTTGGCCCCAAACACAGCTTGAATTCGTCTACGAGGCCAACGATCATCCAGAGCAGCGACACAGCAAGTCTCTGGCTGCTCTCACATGCGGGGTAAAACCCCTGCGCTCGTTCCCAGCTGGGTCTGCTCTGTTGACACAGCCTGCGAGGCCCGGCGTGGGGTGAGGTGGCGACAGACCGGTGCCCGCTGGGAAGGGGAGCCCGGGGGAGCGCGGCAGGGCAGGTCCTGACCCCCGACACCGCCGCCCCCTGAAAACCGAGCTCCCAAGTGTCGACGCTGAGCGATCGGTTTCGCGTCGAATGGGCGGCAGCTGGTGTCGATTCGCCTCGGTCGTTTGAGCAAACAATTTGCCAGTGTGATGTTGACGATCGACCTCCTCCAGGGTACCACGATCTTGAAGCAGACTAGTAATGCGCTTGCCTCGTCAGGTTTTTCGCAACCAACAGCATGGTCTTGTTTATACATTCTAAGAACATTTCGTACTGTGTTTTGCAAAACTGGCGGCATGAAAAATGAAAGCCGTTTCCGACAAGAATCTGGCCCATGAAATTTCAGCTCACTATATACAATTCGTGCTTTCACCAAGGACACTTGGAACACAAAGGCCATTCCTCACATAGCCCGGGCCTCATTGTTCCTACGTCGCCTTGCCCCTGGACGAGAACGATTTATGGCAAACAGGTCATCTCGTCTGATGCGCTGGCTCATTAGTCAGAAGATATCATCCATTAGGCGCTGGTGGCGGCGGCTCGCGGCGGCCCGCGGCGACCTTTCATCGGTCCCGGGCCGTGACGCTGGCGGCGCGGCGCCGGCTCTCCGCGTCACTGCTCGCTGCCCGGCCGCGCCGCGCTTGGAGAGGAGTGCCACATTCGCCGCGGCGCACTCCGGTCCGCGGCGCGTCCGAGTGTGCTGGCGCCGGACGGATCCCCGCCGCCTGCCCCGCGGCGCCGGGCGGCGCGAGCCTGACCTCTGCCGACCGCGCCGCCGGCGCCGCGGACGGGCCGGAAGTGGACGATGAGCGGCGACAGCGTCACATTTGTCGGCGGCGGCGTCTGCGGAGCGTCGGCTGTCGTCACCGGCGGCAGGGGACGCGCCGGCGCCGGCGCCGCCGCTCCCCAGGGACGAGGACAGGACCCAGCTGCCCCCGCCGTCTCCCGCACTCATTATTGAACTGTCAAACAGCGCCGGCCTGGCGAAGCTGGGGCATTTACTTGATTTACAGGCGGGGACGTAGGAGGCACGGGCCATGACGGCTCCCATTTGCAGCGGAGAATGTTTTCTTTCGCGGGTGCGGCGGATTGCAAGTGGTCTCGCGCATCGATCGTTGTGCATTGGCCTATTGAATCCCTTTTAACCCCCGACAGCTAAACCAATGTCTTTGGTAAGCACTTCCATAGCCCACAGTGTTTTTTGGATGGCTCATTTCGGGATTAGAATAAATAGTTCGCTTATCGCAGACAGATTGATCGCTGGGCGTTTGGTGACGATTTTGCGGCTTTATTGATTTAGGGTCTAGAGCATATTTTACAGGTATCTTACTCGAACGGTGGGCATTCTAATCCTTTAAATTAGGTCGTTGGCCTTATCGCGATAACCAGCGCGACGGTAGGAACACTCAAAGCCGTAACAGCCACATGCCCCAGAAATAATCCCAGATTAATTACTGCCGCTAAAAATGCATAACTGTTATCCGAGCTGGTATACTGGCGTGGATGTCGACACGCACGCCCTGACCAAACTTGACTCACAACGTAAACCGGCCATCGATTAGCCATCACCCAACGCGACCTTTTTGAAACCCATAATTTTAAGGTGGCTCTTTGCCTTTCAACCCTCATCCCTTTGCCGAAACGCGCCCGGCTAATTTACCGCCTGCCCGCCGCTGGCGAGTCGGCGTCGAATGACGCGATGGCGCCATTGTGTTTGGGGCGGCGGCCAGTCGGTAAGCAGGCGGCAGTAAACAGGCCGGCCGGCCACTGGTATCGGCGTCGGATCATTCTCATTCCGGACGGGCGGCCCGCCAGGCTGGAGCGGCCGGCGGCGCGGTCGTCACGGCCGGATCGGCCGGGCCTCAGGGCTCGCCGTATTGTCACCGCCGCACTAAACGTGCCGAGGCGCAGCCGGGTGGAAAATGATAATTTAACGGCGGCCCATTAGTCAACAGTGCGCCGCAGGGCGGCCCGTGCCGGCAGGAGGGGCGGGCGCCGCCGAGGAGTCGGATGGCCCCATGGCGGACGGCGGCGGCGCGCTGGCGCTTCTCGGCCGAGGGCCGGTAGGACGGGCGCCGCCGAGGAGTCGGAGGGCCCCGTGGCGGGCGGCGGCGGCGCACTGGCGCTCCTGAGCTGAGGGTCGGCCGTGGGCGGCTCTCCGCTTCCGGGCTTCTTGTGCCGGTGGGAGGAGCGGCTGAAGAACTGCGGAGAAGAGCGAGCGTGCGGATGGTGTAGGGTGAAGCTCTCGTACTTTGGAAGAACATCTCGCACGTCGCAACATGGTGATAGGGAGAGCATGTCCTGTCGTGAAGAAGAGTGGTTCGGAATTATCCAGAGTCAGATAATTTCAGATTATTTCTCAACTGTTTTATGTCGTGCAGAAAGTCGAGTATGTCTTAGACAGTGAATGCCTCATGTGAGCCCGCCTTTTGAGGCCTGCCTTCTCTCCCATCAAGAGCACTGATGGGTCTGGCCACGGAACTCTCAGGAATCCTCCATACCACACAGCGGACCAGGACCGAGGTGCCAAAACGGCGTGTCATCGAAGGTCCGCCGAGGTCAGCCGAGGTCGGCAGGGTCGGCGGCCGGCGCTGACCCGTCGCGCCCGACCGGCGCCCCTGAAGGAACACAGCCGCCCATTGTGGCGTGTCGCCGCCAGACCCAGCAGTTGCGGCGAATTAGCCTCGCTTCGGGTCGCCAGGTGCCGCCCGTCCGTTCGTTCCCCGTGGGACCGACCTGCCGCCGCCGGGCGCCGTTCCGCCGCCCGTTTACGAGCCTCATCCCGCGGCAGCGCCGCTCGATTCGCGGAACATTGCTGCTGTGTGATCGCTTTTGAGTGTTCGGGAGCGGCTGGCGCCCGCCTCATGAGCATAAAGCATCAGAGCAGATTACAGGGCCCGACGCCCCGGGGGCGTTCGATCGCCAGCCAGCGCAGTCAGTCTTATCTTAACGCCCCGAGAGGCGGCGCCGCCGGCCGCCGGTAGTCGGCCGGGGCCCGGGAACGGCCGGGGAACCCGTTCTCCTGCCCGGCAGCGCGGCCCGGCAGCCGCCGCCGAGTTCGCGCAGACACGGCCGTCCATTAACGTCCGGCCGCGGCAGAATTATGGCGCGAGAGGGCACGAAACCGAAGCGAGGCGTTACGCGATGGAGCCGCGCATGTGGCGACGCTGGGCGCGGTCTGCCGCCCATTATCGAAGGTGGCTGGCGGGCGTCTGGTCGGCGCAGGCGACGGTGCTGCCGCCTCGCGGCCGGCCGGGCGGCTCGGGTGCGTGCGGCCGGCCGTCACCAGTGTGCGTCTGAAGGCGGTTTCAGCTGGACGTGCCTGGAACACTCCGCGAGCAAGTCTCACGAGGTGCCCGCCGAGACGAGCTCGGTTGCCCGTCGAGGACCGAACTGCGTGCCGCCGGCACCGTCGCGTACTGCCACCGTCGGCTGCGACGGACCGCGACGGTTACCCGCGGACTGGCGACCGCGTGGAGTCTCGAGCTCGCTCGCAGCTTCAGCGCCGCTGACTAAGAGTCACGCCACTGCTGGCGGACATGCTCGAGGTCTGACTGGCCCCGCCGTCAGAGGACGTCCCCGGTCGCCGCCAGTGGAGTCTGCATTCGCCGCTAGTGGAGTTGTCCCCTGACCGCCGCCGCCATGCGCCCTTCGGCCGCCGTGGCCCTCTGCGCCGCGCTAGCTGCTTGCGCGACCGGATCGCGTGTCCAGCTCGTCAGCAACGGCTACAGCGGTCTCGTGGTCGGCATCGATGACCGCGTCAACATCCTGAAGTGCCAGGACGTGCTGGACAATGTGAAGGTAAGTCCGCCGCTCGTCTGTGTCAGAGTCGAGGTGGGGCCGCCGGTGCCGGCCGCGGGTCTGGATTGGGACGTCGGTCACTTGCCTCGCAGCCTTGCCCGCAGGTCCGATCTTCAATCCTTGGGATGCGTCAGATATGCTCTGCATGGCAGGGTATCCCAGGTGGTACCGTGGCGTGCTGTTCCATTTGATGAAATTTAATGGGTCTCAATAGCTTCGGGAAGCGCAGCATTTGTGACTTGCCAAGTTGTAGTATAATGTCACACAAGTGGACGGAAATGTGTGGTTAGTTTTAAGTTGCGTCTTCATGTAATGACGAGAAAATTAGCCTCATGACTGTATTTCTAAACTCATTTAAAATGTCGCAAATTAGCTTCACATAGCATTCGGTATTAGGTACGAATCTTGCTTTGATTATGAATCAGTTCACTGAGCCCGTTCTGCTTACTCTGTCCGTAAGATCTAGCAATATCATGCCACCAACGTGCGTAAGCCATTATGAACTGTTTTCCGCATACCAAGTAAACTGGCAAATGTGTAGAAGCAATTTCTTTCTGTTTGTTTCTGTTCAAGAACGTACGCTTGGTGCACCTTTGTTCATCAATGCACGAAAAGCAGCATAGATAAGATGGTAAGCATCTGTCAAAATTAATGCGCTCACTACGTTATCATCTGGTAAGTCTTAGCAATATCGTAGAGCCAAAGCGTTCATTCCCTCAAAAGAAGACACTGCATAGTTTGATGACCACATCTCCCGCTGTCAGCTTCCCATTTGCCGGTGTCAGCCTCCCATTTGCCGGTGTCAGCCTCCCATTTGCCATTCCCCTTGCCGGTGTGCCCCGCTCGGCTCGGCTTCGTCGCTCCCCTAGTCCTGGCTCCGTGGTCGGCGTTATTGACTACCCGCATGGCGTCCAGGTGCGCACGGGTACGCTCCGGGCGCGCTCGGGGTGCACTCAGGGTGCGCTACGGGTGCGCTCTGGGTGCACTCCCGGGGTGCGCTCGGGGTACGCTCGCAGTGCAGTCGGGTTGCGCCCGAGGCGCACTCGGGCTGCCCTCGGGGCGTAAGACAGGGCATATTCGATTGGCCAGCCGAGCATGCGGCCTGGAGTACTCCCCGGCCACTCACTGGCTGCCGCCGGCAGACCGACCTGGCTGCTGGCGGCAGCTGCGCTGGAGACTCCAACCACTGCAATCGGCTGCTAGTTGCAGGTCGCGATTTTGAAATACTGCACTATAAATCACACCTCTTTCACGGAAACCCCTCGCCTTGTCTGCCTGCGATGGGTGTGATTTAATGAAGCGGCCACTCTCTGTAGATTATAAACTGTAATCTGCGACCGAAAACTCTTATATAAAACGGGCCAGCAGGCTCAATACGTGCATCCGGAAGCTAACTGCATCTTTTGTGCTGGCCGATCCGCTACGAAGGCCTACACCTGTCACCAGCGCTGCAGCCAGTCTAAACGGCTTTCTTAATTGAGCTTGCACCTGTCGCACGGCCGGCGTTATTTGCATGTTAAAGACGCGCTGTGCCATTACGCGTGTGGGCGACGGGGCGACGTCGGCCTGCGAGAACGTACAGCGACACTAATACACACCGGGGCGATCAATTTCACGGGCTCCATTCCGGCTTACACTCAGGTGTCAATGCTTTCTGGCTGCCCCGCCCTCTCGCTCTGTTGCCGACACACGGCGGTCACGGATAAGCCGTCGGCGGGCAGCACGGAGCTCCTAAATCCGAGCCCGGCTTTGTCGCTGACAGTGCCGATGGTCCCACTCAGCGGCGCGGGCGGACGAGCTCCGCCCAGCCGTGAGTCACAGCCGACCCGAGACGCTGGCGTCCCGGCAGGTGAAGCGAGACGACAGACGCTCCGGGCGACGTGTCGTCGAGGGGTGGACTGAGCGCGTCCGCCAAAGATCACAGTTCTGCCTGACGGGCGATGCGTCTTGTTGAGTGGTCGGCCAGATCAGGCGCCCTCGAAGTATGACCCCTAGACGGAGCCTTCGCCCTGCAGAGAGAGCGCCCCAGCTCCCACTCGCCGACGCCTGTCCACGGACAGGAGCGCCGCTTCAGGAGCGGCTGCGCGAATGACTGACAGGGAGCGGCGCCGCGGCGCTCCCTGCGCGCTCGTTCGGCGTGCTCCGAGTCTCGCAGGATGCCGAGCTGGAACTGTGCCGACTGTCGGAGGCTTTGTCTCCAAACTGTACAAACTGTAGCCGTGTGCATCTGTCTCCTGTCAAGCCAGCATGGCCTGGCTTGGTGCGAGTAAAATGAGTGTAGTAAGAATGCGCCGCCTCCACCTGGATACGGCCCTGCCTCCGATATCTCAGGGCCTTGGGCAAGCCACTCAGTGCAGTATCACGTCCGTCTCGCGGGTGTCTCAGCGTGCTGGACACCTGGGCACCTCAGACGGTATCATCAGGGTGGTGTGCCCGAGCGAACGGCAGTCAGCATGCCGCCCCGGCCAGGACGTCTGCACGCGGAGGTCACGTCAGTCCCGCGGCGGTCTGCACCGCAGACGGCGCCCGGGGCGGGCGCGGTCCGGTCACCCGCCGGGGCGGACCGGGCACGGCTCGACTGCGATCTCCCGGCGCGATAACGCCGCCTCCCGGAGAGGACGAGAGGGACGCTCCACCCGTGTCCATCGCTCACGGCCGCTGCTGCAGCAGCTGGCCGGGCGCGCCCGCACCGCGCCAAATACGTCTCTGGCGGCCGTGTCCGCGCCGGGACGGCCGCCGTCAGTCGTGTCGCTCGTCCGCGGGCCTGTCTGCTGACGCCTTTATCGTCGGCGCGCCCGCCGCGGCCCGTCGTGCGCTCGTTCTCGGGTCAGGGGTGGGTCGGGAGCGAGCTGGGGATCTGCGTCTGCGGTGACTTGCGCGCGCCCGTCGCGAGAAGTCTGCAAGACCGCCGCGGATTGCCCCGGTCAGGTCGGTGACTCTCCCACTGCGCCGGCGCGGTGCCGCGGCGGATTGCCCCGGCCAGGTCGGTGACTCTCCCACTGCGCCGGCACGGTGCCACGGCGGATTGCCCCGGTCAGGTCGGTGACTCTCCCACTGCGCCGGCGCGGTGCCGCGGCGGATTGCCCCGGTCAGGCCGGTGACACTCTCACTGCGCCGGCGCGGTGCCACGGCGGATTGCCCCGGTCAGGCCGGTGACGCTTCCACTGCGCCGGCACGCTGCCGCGGCGGATTGCCCCGGTCAGGTCGGTGGCGCTCCCGCTGCGCCGGCACGGTGCTGCGGCGGATTGCGTTTGTGACGTTGGGATGATGTACTTGCATTATCGTGGCATTTCGCCGCAATTAAGATGGTATCGCTCTGAGGTGCTCTTTTTGCGCGACACGCTGTGAGCCCAACATGGGGTGCGCTGGTTGCGGGTGTGATGAATGGGCAACAAATTAAGTCTGGCACATTCGTGTCTGCAATCTGCATCGTGCAAGATACGGAGAAGCGTATCGGTCGGCGAACCCTGTTTGATGACGGTTCCAACGATTTGTAGGCTTCTCGTATGATGGAAACAACTTTCCATGAGACAGGTCGCTAGTCCAGAAGTAAGCTGGTGTTAACAAACACGTTTTCCGAGTAATACGGGGTGAGAATGTGCTGCAGCTCCAATTTACAAGCGCCGTACTTCATGACTTGGCCCGGTCTGACGCCAGACGAGCGCCTTGTAAACTAGCCTTGTCTCGCCGCTGTTCTGACTCATCCCCACTTCTCCAGAGCAGCGCCTCCTAGTGCTAGCCGTGGCCTGTCCACTTCCACCAGGAGCGGTACAGTATGTGTTGATACACCGCTGAGCCGACACTCGCTGCTCAGGCACGCGACGCTATCGTGCGTGCCCATTGTTACGAAAGAGAAAGTCTCAGCCAACGTCCATCGGCCTGGAGTCACAAGTGGAGCAGCTGCCGTCCTGCGAGCGCGAGCGGCGCGGACTGGTGCTCGCACTCCGGCCCGCCTTCACGCCGCTCGACTGTGCGTCTAGTGTCGCCCCTGACATCACCGCCGTGGTCCTGTGACGTCAGACGGAGGGCTGTCGCGCCTGCCGCCTGCGTTAATTACTGCCCGGCAGCGTACAGAAGGACGGCGCACTTGTTTTCTGCGGCGGCCTCCGTCTCATCGACTGCATTTCTGCCGGAGGAGACAAAGGACGGGGCGGGCGGGGGCCGGTTTATTCAGCACGCCGGCGGGGGTGTAATTTGGCGGGCGGCCGGCTCGGGCGCGGGCCTTTTGTGCGTCTGCGCCTGGTCAACAGGCCGCTCCAATCATCCGTCATTACGGCGTCTGGGCGTCGGTCGGCGCGGTCGCCGCAGACCGGGCCGCCGGCGCTCGGCACCAATACCTCGGCCTCTAATGAAGCGGCCGGTGCGCGTACCCCGTCTTCGCACGCGGCCCGGTGCGGCCCCGCACGGGCGGCCGGAGCGGCTCAGTTCTCCGGGGCCGGTGCGCTACGGCTGGTCTATGTTCACTCGGCGGGCTCGGCCTTTCGGACGTCCTTCCGGTGAATGCAAGCTCGCTCCGGAGTGTAGACCGTTCGTGGCTGGAGGTACGGTGCTTGGATGCTATTTTGCGGACTCGCACAGGCTAGCTGGGTGCTGTAAGACGCCTTTCGTAAGGGGTATCTTCAGGAGACACAGAAGTAGATGATTCAGAGGTGAAGGAGCAGAGATTATTCCTCCATGACACAAGGCTTCCGCTGGCGACAACTCCAGCAATCCGAGTGCGATTTCTGGCTCCGTGCGCACGCACCAGAATCCCGCACCAGAAGCGTGCCCACGCATCAGGCAGGGCGTCTCGGCTGGCAAACTCGGTCACAGTGCCACGGGCTACAGGCCCGGTCCGCGAGGGCAGGTGCCTGGCGTGTAGTCACGGTAGCTGGGCGGCGGCAGCCAGCCGGCGATAACCACGGCCTGCTGCGATGAGGCGCCGGCTGGGCCATCGCGTGCTGTTATTAATGCGTCCGGCCCGGCAGCGGTGACCCGGTCAGGTCAGCAGACCGGCACCC